GATTCCGCACCAGAGGAATACAAGAAACTTGCCGAGCGGTGTTGTGATGCTGATCCTGATAAGCGTCCAGATGCAGAGACACTTTGGGATGATATTTTCAAGCTTTTTTGGAATGAGATGGTCGGTAACGCGTGGTATGCCGTTTATCGTAATGATGTAAAACCCTTATCACGTCTCGAAAAGGAAAGCAAATACTCTAGTAAGCTCTTACCTACTGGAGATTTGCCCAAACCGAGAAACAGTTATGATTTTGACTCAGCTGCAGGTATGACGACAGCAATTGGTTATGGATGAAGTCAATTTACAATATTAACATTGTCACTGCTTATGACTTAGTGACTCAAACGCTTTTTGAATAAACTTGTTTATTTACAGTTTGTACGGGTTTTATTCCAAGGTTCGAATTATACTATATTCTTTCGCATATGTCAATATAGTTGATGCCAATTAGATCATCTGACTATGTAAGAAAATATGATACATTATTTATTGTAGCAGATTAAACCGAAATTGGCGTCTTTTTGGATCCTCTTTTAATGCCTCTGAAACCCACATACTCTTCTATTAACAAAAGTTACCCTAAATCCCATTTAAATTTTTATATTAAAATAGAGAAAATTTTGTTTTAATCCGATTTCGTTTTAATCTGTCATATTTATTAAAAAGTAAATCTTGAGACTAATTAATGTTTATGAAATTGGTTATGAGTTTGATGCTGAATAAAATACGCAGCAACATGCGAGTTCTTCGAAGCATTTCAGCAGTAGCCGGATGATGCGTGCTTCCTGACATTGGTTTCATACCCAAACCAGTTCTTTTCCAAATGGCCCCATGCAGTTGGCTTGATAGACGCGATTGCCACTTCATGACTAGAACGCAGGCAAGAATCCTGGAGATGCAATAAAAGCAAATCCCACATCTATTCAAATCTTCCGACTGAAGAAGAACTCTGAAACTCCTGTAAGAATTAAAACTTTAGGTCATTTCACGGTATTATGCAAATTACGCAAGTGATGAATCATCAATAAATCCACTCACATTTCTCAAAGACATATCGCCACTTTTTTCATGATATTGCTGCATAGCCTTAATATTAACGGCCCCGTATAACGATGCAAGTTTAACGGCATCCAACAACGAAAATAAAATTGCCATACACAAGTGTGCCAACCATATATGCCAAGACGGCTCCATTCGTATCAAATAATGTTCTAGTTGTTTCAACAATAAAATTTGTGACACAATTATTACAATTTCGCTATTGTAATTGTGTGCGTTCTCATCAGTAGTACCGTTTTGAGGCAGTTTGATTCGACTGGAGACTATCGAATTAATCCCACGATAGGAACCGTGATTGTACTCGAGGACAATTGATTAGTGTCTACTCCTCGACGCAGTGAGTCGTAAATAGGAAAAGCCTAATGTTAAGTGAGAAGGTAGCTAAATTGAAAGAGCTAAATCCCAAGGCCAGTTACTGAACGCTCTCCCGCGGTAGTTGGTTCGACAGTCGAAAACGGTAAAGGCTCGGCGACCAACGATTTCAATAAGATGGGGAGGGTGATGGGGGAGAATGGAAGCGTAGTATGAAATAGGTAGCTATTGTTTATCAAATTGATCCACTAGCTCCTTCCTCCTCTGGCGGAAGCTGGCCGGAGAGGATAGATTGAGTATGCTGTTTGGCATGCCAGTTTATGCAATAGTGACTGTTAATTTTACTATCTATCATTTATTTATTTATTTTAATGTAATGTGACAGTATTTGACTGTTACAGTAGTTGTATTTAATGTGTAAGAGTGGTATTGTAATAATAGCATTTAGTATGATTTGATTAATGTAATGCAATTTAATGCTGACAAAAATAAAAGAGCTTAAAAAAACAAGAAAAAAGAAAGAAAACGTTTAAACAAAGAAATTCTTATTTAATCCATAAGCGGGATTATTTATTTGTATAATTACTAAACACGCTTTTTTGCTTTTACCACATTCACTTTAATTACACACTCTTTATCACTAAAAGATTCAGACCCAGACTCAGATGAGGAACTAAGATTAATCTTTTTCTACACACTCTGCAACGCTTTTGGATTTGCTATCGCATTTATAATTTCTCGACGAAGTTCAAGTTTCACTATTTTTAGTAATTAGTGGAGAATTTTTTTGTAATCTAAGACTGGAAATTACTCTACCAGTTATATTTTATCATTTATCAAACCATCTTTTTCGCCTTTTTATAAGAGCTAATTGACATTGTGAGCACGAATCAACAAGCGTACCGCTATTATTCTTACAGCCATTCATTGTGCCGCTTTTTGCCAAAAAACTTCCTCCACGCTTTTCAGCATGCTCTTCCGTATTCGCCGCCAATTTATCAAAAACTCGAGCCATATGAACTAACTGGTTAGGCTGATTTTCTGATAATATATGTTGAGGAGGATATCGGATCTTATCTCTCTCACAAATCCACGCGATGGAGCATAGTTCGACTTTAAATCGTTAAAAAATGTGAGAAACAAAATCTAGATTGATTAAAACACTTTATGACGGGAAAATGGAGTTCTATTTCAGAAACTCTCTCTAATTAGTTTGTTAGAATCAATAAAGAGACCGTAAGCCAGTGCTAGAAAATAATGGCTGATCGAATTCCTGATAATAATGCATAAATAAAACTAGTTTCAAGCATTCAAATGATATATATTATGCGACATTAAAATGCTGGATGAGCAAGTTAACTTGTTGTTGCAAACCCTCTACTTTGGTCTATTGCGTAATGTTGATTACGCGCATTTGCCTTTTTTTTATGAATATTATGAAATTACTTAACGTGACGAAGGAATGTGAGGACGATCAATCGATGCTAAGACATGTTCGTAAATTGTTCATGAACTATGATTATTCCAGACAAATTAACAGAGAAATTGCTCGCCAGCTACATACAGTCGACTCTCCCTAAATGCACACTCGGAACTGAGAGTGTGGGACCGTGCATTTAGAGAACAATGTAAGTTGATGCACTTGCGGAGTGGCAGCACATGGTCTTAATTTATTAAAACATTGATCTATACGCGATTGTTGCATTGCATTAACCTTCCTTTAACATACAGTATATCTCTAGAAGATTGGCAAACTGTCAAACTACGTTTATGCTTAAACTCTGTCCGATCTTGGAAATATGGTCTCCCGATTAAATGGCCTAATCGATGTTTGCATGAAACTTTGAATGGTCTGATTAAAATAGCCTGAATCAAATCGCTTAATAAATTTAAATGGCTTGATTAAATGGCCTGATATCAAGACGTACGAGCTACAAATAGCTCTTCCAATGGTCTTTTATTAATTTAACGTTCGGCGATAGTGACGATTTACTGGCTGATTTTTATCTGACTGACATTACGACTTGGACCTAATACTATTATTTGAATCGAACGTTACTTATAATTTTACAATACAATGTCTGCTTACTAAATTTATACTTAAAATCACGTATGTGCATTTAGAGTATTCTCTGGGAGCGTGCATTAAAGCGTGCATTTAGGGAAGCAAGACTAGAATACAACCAATGTATATAGGAGACGCTAGAAAGCATTAAATGCCATGTATGGTATGGAATATTTGTAATCGGTTAATTTAATTTTGTGTGAACTACATCGCGCGTATAAGGTCACAGGTAAGTAAAATCAAGTGATTAGGTGTCGATCAATGAACACAATCAGTGTGTTGATGTAACCGTCAAGAGAAAAGAGGTTATTATATCATAATCACGATTATAATCGTGGCCCATTGATGAACGCGAATCAATATGAGTATTTCCGTATTCCAAAACACACTCATCTCACTTATAAACCATATTTAGCATCATTTTATTTATCTATTATGTACGAAATCCATCATGAGACACCACCTTCCCATCTAAACGCAAAATGGAAATTACCAAAGTCTTGCATATGTAAAGTATATAAATTTCTCATTGCTAACGAGTAGTATTGTCTTCCGTCGTGGTTGCGGACTCTGTTGTAGTTGAGGATCCTGTAGCTGGAATTTCCGTATTTGTAGCTGGTCTCTCCTCTGAAGCCTGCTCTGGAACCAGGATTTGGAAGTTGTCTAGAGATATCGGATCGATCAAAAGAGATATTAATTAATGTATTTGCACAAGTTGATTCGCATAAACAACGCGCATTGTTTAATTCGCAAAGTATTGCGATCCGCCTACCTTGGAGGATTTGCGAAACCACTCTCCTTTCGCTCCTTTCGTCGACGACCTGTCTAGTATAAAGTTTTCCTTCTACATAAACAAGCAGTCTACAAATATGACCAAATCAATCAGTACTTGTTGCCAATTAATAAACGTGATAAAAAAATAAAAACAATTACATCGAATACACGCATTGAAAAGCCGCAATCTGCAATTACAACACTTTATAATACATGATCGGTCAAACCCACTTTCCACTCACCCTCGTTTGAACTTTTCCATTACTACTTGCACCTGTAGTGGTTGCAGGCATACGATATTATGGAATGACGGATCTAACAAACAGACATGATAATTAGCAGCACGCACGTAACCATAAAAACATGCAAGCGATCCTCCGTTTTTGCACATAGACTTACATTTCCTTTGACTATAAGTGACCAGATCATAATGTGCTCGCTGAAGACCATTTTTCGACGTCGCTTGAACTGGATCACTAGCTATTTTCCCAATGAGGAGCACCTTGTTAAGACCTCGTACTATATTCACAGAGCGACACGAATATTAGAAAAACAAGAAATCAGCATTTGATGACGAAAAAAGTCCCGATATAAAAATGATCAGGGTGGAGTGATGAGAAAAAGCTTGATATCTTACTGATACCCTCGTCCTGAGGAGCGTTGGAAGTATTGAAACTCTGCGTATGGAGTAAATGGGACGCGTAATGTCACACGAGTAGCAAAGACATGAAATATGTGGTCAGATAAGTCGTCCTGTACACGACACGCAGTAATAACAAGGAAACTTGAATTACAAACTTACTCGTGTTGCTCTGGCAACATTCACTCGTGAGAGACCTCTGAATAACGACATCCTACGTATATGCAGAATATCACACGTTGGGAAGGGAAGAACAGAAAATTTTTTTTCCGTCTTTTTTGCTCCACATTTTTGGCACGTGGCTAGATTGGATAGATTATTTCCGTGGTCATGTGATTGAGAGCGAGAATGTAGTGAGGGTGGTCTGGAGAGTATATATCATCCGTACTTTTGATAAAAGAAAATATGACGGAAAGAGTAAGTGACATTTGTATGTAACTCTTAGTTCATGATTACACTCTAGTCACTCATACCTATCATAATGACACCCTCTCCGGATAGGGCCGCGGTAGTTCACGAGGAGGCAGCGGTTCTCGAGGTGGATCCCGTGGAGGTCGTGGTGGAAGCAGAACAGGCAACACGCTCGGACAAGATCAAAAGCCCAAGAAGGAAAGTATTCTCGATCTTACAAAGTACACTGAGAAAAAAATACGTGTTAAATTCAATGGTGGAAGGGAAGGTGAGTTTGTAAAAGAGCTGAACCAAAAGTAGAGGCAATTTGGGGATATGAATAGAGTGCATTTGAGAAATAATAATTGAAAACGGATATACGAGTTAGAGGGTCAGTTTATTTATGCTTGCGGATTACTTGTCATAGATCATTATTTAAATGACGATTCTTTTATTTCAGTGACTGGAATACTAAAGGGATTCGATCCATTGTTGAATCTTGTATTGGACGAAACTGAAGAAAATCTTCGCGGTAAAATCTGTTATTGTTATCACAGAACGTTTGTTTGTTTTTTTGTTTTTTTTGTTTGTTTTTGCATGCAATCCTTCGTTCCTACCATTTTTTATTTCTTGTTGTATGAGCTTTTCCCTGACTAACCCATCTCTTTGCTGTTATCTCCTCACCATAAAAAAACAAACATTAGTAGACGTCGAAGAAAACAAACCCGCAAATGAAACGCGTCAACTTGGTTTGATAGTCTGCCGTGGCCCCGCTGTGATATTAATATCGCCTGTCGATGGGTCTGAAGAAATCGCCAATCCGTTTCTGCAACAGTGAAAAGCTTGATTGATAATTTTATTTTTAAATAGAAAACCCTTATAATTGTGATGGCAAGTGAATGATGTTTGTATTTCGAAAAACACTTAGGTTTTTGAGACATATGATTGGGATCGGTCGTGTACTATATGCGAATAACACACAAATATAATTTTTCATACGGCAAAACACTTCGAATCCCTTGCGCTCACTGTAAAGATTGACAAACCTGTTATCGGGCACACTTTCCCATTACGTTTCTTCTACGTAGTAACCTTTAGCATTACCTGAAATTGCGTTTCTGTCGGAATTATTCATCAAGGCTCCAAGAAGTTGCATTTTTATTTGTATTTCTCCACCCGACTTTGCTAGCATACAACATTGCCAAAGTTATAATGTCATCCATTGATCACAAGCCTGGGCGTGAGTGATTGGCTGTTATTATCAAATGAGATCAGACTAAGAGAGGTTCGCGCGCAGCCAAGCACGGAGTGCGATTTTTCGAATTAATTCATAGATTAGGTTTGCTGTTAGACAAGCTATATTAATATAAGGAAACTGAAACAATTATCCCTCGTAAAACAATTAGCTGTGCCGATCGATATTCATATTTTCATGGTCACCTTTCACAATAAGAGTAGAGTCTACTGGCGTTCCACTGGTAGGAGCACTCAAAGGATACAAGGCGTTGTACGTGTATAAAGCACCATCCAAAAACTTAAATCATTTTTGATTGCTGAGAATCCGAGCCGCTCCACGTGAAGCAGCGTTGGATAAAGCACTACCTAACTGTTGTGAATTTCATAACGCGCCTCAGGCATATTTTCGGAATAGAATATAATGCTAAATTGCTTCGGAAGTCAGGACACTCGCTTACTTTATGGATGGGCTATGATAAGCGACCATCACGTGTACATTGCGCGTAATTCTTGCGTCGAGTTTTATGAATTCGTTGTTCTTTTGCTAATTCTCTTCTTCTCTTTCTATAGATTTAAAGGCACGAGAATTTGCTTTATAACGCCATTCGAAACTTGTTTGCGTTGGTTCTGGTCACATTGAGGGTTCGGGGAGGCACAACCGGAGAAGTCGCTCAAGTGTCGAAAGTAGGATTATGCTCGACGTACAATTCAGTGCATCAAGTCGGCGTCTCTTTCCCATGCTTCTTCGATTGAATTATGGGTGCTTGTATATGCTCAGACAGGTTGGGAATGGGGCAAATCAAACGTTATTTCACACGGTTGATATGATATAGATGGCACACTTGTGTTGTGGAATGAGCTAAGGTTTTAGTTCTTCAATCGGAAGATTTCGAGCAGGCGTGAGCTCTGCTTTTATCGCATCTCCCCGCATTCTAGTCACCAAGTGACTATCACGTTTTAAATACCATTATCCAATGTTCAAATGAAGGTGCTGCTTGGGTCATTTTGGAATATAAAAACATGTCAGGAAGCACGCATCATCCGGCCGGTGCTGAAATTGACAGTGAAGCTTCACTGTCCAGCGAACAGAGCTCGAATGTAGCTACGCATTTTATTCAGGAACGAACTCATTACCAGTTTCATAGACTTTAAATAATGTACTCTCTATTTGCTTACATGTACCCCGGCAAAGGCAGCTAACAGTAAACGTGCACGATTTTATTTCGGTATCTTTTTAACCCAGCTCATATTGACATACATGGAAGCATACCACGTATTGTATTTAATTTATTTAATTGGAAGAGGAGTAAATCCTTGAATTAAACTCAAACTCGTAAAATGTAAATAAACCGCGAATTACAAGTTTATTCAAAGAACGTTTGAGTCACTAAATCATAATAATAAGCAGTAACGATGTTAATATTGTAAATTGACTTTATTCATAACCAATTGATGTCTTCATACCTGCAGCTGAATCCAAATCATAGCTATTTGTCGGTTTAGGCAGATCTCCAGTAGGCAAGAGCTTACTAGAGTATTTACTCTCCTTTTCGAGACGTGATAAGGGTTTTACATCGCTATGATAAACGGCATTCCACGTGTTGTCATCAGAACTGTCCACCTCTGTAATAAGCTCGATAATATCACTCCGAAGTGTAAATGCGCGTGGACGCTTATCAGGATCAGCATCACAACACCGCTCGGCAAGTTTCTTGTATTCCTCTGGTGCGGAATCAGGCATC